GAGTTCACAGAGCGATACAATATGCTCCAGTTCCCCCACTGGTTCAGCCTCTATACTCTCATCCCTGACTGTTTGTGTTTACATGTGAAATTGAGCGATGTGCCAGTGCCAGAGTGAGGAAGGGTGCTGGGTCTGAAGCAACACAGGGGTGCTTGCTAATGAGAAGCTCAAAGCTCAAAGCAGAAAACCTGATGAAACCAAACTGAGGAAACATTGCACAATAAAAACAACCCAATCTGATGTCTCAAATGCAAAACCGAAATGAATACTCATAACTCACTTGAGGAATTTGTGCTTGTAATTGGGGAATTTGTTCTGCAGTGTTCCTGTACTTGGTTGAGTATAGGGTTTGGTTGATTCCTAGGAGCAACATACTTATAATATACGCTGAGAAATCCTGCTTAAACCAACTTAAAGGTGCTTTATGCAAGTTTGGCCTTTATCATGGTGGATGTACAGTACAAGTTTTTTTTACTTTTATGCTCCTCTGCATGGAAGAAATCTGTGATCGAAAATAACTCTTCTAAGTGGCATATTTCATCAATGTAGCCTTCTTTTCTCTTTTTACTGATATGCAAACATGACATTTGCTACCAAATACATTCTGACCACTTAAAATGCAAGTCACAATTCTAGGCTTACAGTAATGAATCGGGTGTAGGCAAGAACATGGTTTCTTCTATGTTCACACTCAATTATTGATTTCTGTTAAAAAAAATTATCATGAGATGAAAACTTACCCATCTATTTTAAAGAGGGCATGAACTGGCTTTTTAAATTTTATTATATTGTTTTCTGAGGTCAACTTATGACGTTCGCTTGGTTTTTGCATTCAAAAACATCAAAATTAATAAGCAATAGGCTATTTTGTACCCTAGTTTTGAGCCTAGCTGAAGCTTAGTTTTGGGTGTCTAGTTTTGGGTGTCTTGCACTGAACACTTGGAAGTAAACAGCCACTGTGGTGAGTGGACAACAGTTTTGCATATTATAATGAGTTTCAACTCACCCGTCGATGCACTTGGGGGAAATTGTTTTGAAAACATCCAATGTTGTAAATGACAACCGTAATGATTTGCCCATACATGTTCGACCCGGAGTCGGTGTGTTGCACAATGTCAGATCAACGCATTCTCATCCTTTAGCCTAGCGTCATATAGATATGACGGCGCTATACTATAGCATAACGGCGCTATACTACGCACATGGCACCCGTTATCGTTAATATAACACGCGCTGTGATGGGTAGGTTTAGGTGTGGGGTAGGGTAGGGTAGTCTCATATTACGCTAAAGGATTTATGACGCCTTGGGTTCGCGTGTTATATTAACAATAAAGGGTGCCATGCGCGTAGTATAGCGCCGTTTTGTCATATAGCGTTCTATGTGACGCTAAAGGATGAGAACGGGCTGGTCAGATCCAATATAGACGGCACAGCACCGTTGTTTACTCTTAATCGGTCTGCAAATCCAGTCTTGTTTACAAAACAATCCTCAGTGAAATGAAGCGAACAGACGGACAATGTTTTACCTCATCAGCTGGGATGTCATTAAAAATAAAGTTTATCGTATTGAAATCCAGAGGAAGCTTATGCAGCGACTGTCTTCCACAACCAGGCACTGCACAATATTTTGTATTGCTCGGTAACTCGATCCGGTTTGTCATCACGAGGTAGACCTATGTTATTTAGCTATGCGTGTAATGCGCGAATCGGTGGGCGGGGCTAAACCATCCGTGTTGAAGTTGGCGTTGATCTTCTTCTGCGGGGTTGGTGTTTTATCATCTTTGACGTCATAGTTCCCCACTTTGAAAAACGAGTCGTTTGCTGAGCCTGGTGTCAATAAAAGCTTTTATTGGACTAACAAGGACATTTTCAGTTCTGAAACTTACAGCATATTCTTATATCATGATGACCTCTTAGATGTCAAAAGTTCAAGGAAAATTTGATTTCTCAGTTCATCACCCCTTTAAATGTACAGTATGTTATCTATCTGATTGTGAATGATTCATTCATGTATGTTTAATTTTTACAAATTTTCTTAGACTGATGTCATAATTTTCTATTTAAAGGAATCGCATACGTTTTTTCTTCTTCTTTCTAGTTAGATTGCAGTGTTATTTAATTGTAATTAAATAGAAGGATTTGCTTTTATGAAGCACACAATTTCCTCTCTGAAAAAAAAAATATGGCATTGACCTAGACATAATGATGTTTTAAAAAAGAGAGATTTCATGTCATTGACACTAAATAATAAATGAAAACTTTTAGAGAAGTTGATTGAAGTCACATTAGAGAGATAAAGCAAGAAAGAGAAATACTGTAGTAGAGACCGGTTTATTAGATTTATGCCTTCCTTTCCATGTCTCACATCTCCTGCAGCGGCAATCAATGAGAAATGTGTGAAAGCCTTGAAAAGATGCCGTTCTGAGAGCGCTTATTCCCCCTTCCTTCCCTGAGAATCCCCCCCTCCCCCTGCTTCTGCCTGCCTGCCTGCCTTTGACTCGCATGAAACAAAACGACCAGTTACAGAAGCACCACTGTGTGAGTTTAAGCCGCAAAACACCACCCGGAGATCCATCTGAGCTTGATGATGCTAGATTAGCTGGAACAAGTATATCAGTAGAACACAAAAAGAACACAGAGGGGTAAGCGGGACAGGACGCAGGAGGGGCCCGGCCCTCTTGTTATGCCAAGAGTGTTCCGAACGGTCCCGCTTGGTTCAAGTTAATTACGACTAACATTTAAATAAGAGCACTTGTCTTGAGGACGGTGGTTGGCTGCGGGAGAGACAGACCTCACGCTAATTGTGTTTGTGTTTCCAGCTCCTCCCCTCATCTCCAGCCCTCTCTCAGTATGAGCTCCTGCGGGACGCACTATGTGAGCTGCAGCCCAATGAGGGGATTTGGATAATCGCCCCCTCACACGGATCTGTAAGCGTCCAAATCCTGGTCATCATACTGTAACTGGTTGCTTTGGTCTTTTCTTCTCCTGTAGATGGATGGACTTTTATTGAGTGGTGTCTGACTGCTGAAATAACAACTCTCTTTACACCTTAATGCTCTCTCTAAAATACCCACAAACTTTCTCTGGGAATCAGTGGCCATGGACAGATGCCGATGCAGATTGCCCCTTTAATTTGATTTCATGTCTTTGAGCTAATAAAGTAAGACCACAAAGTTGTGTTTCTTACAAACAAACACTGAAAGTGTTCCTAGGTTTTCTGTGCATAGGCTCTATGCACGAACCCTGCTGACGTGTGTCCGAAAGAATCTCAGTCAGCTTCTTTACTTCTGCAAGCGCGTTCTGCAGGCCAAGTGTATTGCGGCAAAACTTTAATAAAATCCGTTTTCGATTTTAGAAACGCTGATTCGCTAGTCGGATTTCGTACGATATGAGAGAATACTAACCCTCAAAGTTGTTGATGTAGCTCGAAATAAATAATTTAAATAACTTCACTTTTTTACTCTTGTGTGACTGCTAAGTGCCTCACAGTTTTGTTAACATCATTCACGTTAACCGCAGGACGTTTTTATCATAGACTGTAAAAAATATGGACAAAGCGTCTGTGACGTCACCCATAGACTCTCTGAAGAATGGGTTTGAGGCTGTTTATGGGGGGTATGGCCGGCGCCATACTGGAAAATCTTAGGAAATACAAAAGTTTCAGAAGGGATACAGAGGTGGTATGATGTGTTGTGTCAGATCATGGCCGAGACGTCAAATTCACACGTTATCAGCTGTCAATCAAAGTTTATTTGTCATACATTTTTTATCTAAATATGATCTAAACTAACGAGTTAGAAAAAAAATCACCCCCCTCACAGTTTTTAGGCACGCAGAACATATTGAAGATTACAATAAAAGTCCATGGGACCAAACTGTAAACATATGAATTTATGCGGTGAAAACGGATATTTTAACATGACGTCTATGGATATTTGCTCCCTTTTGGGAGCAGCCTCTAGCGGATTTGAGATGTATTGCAGTTTTTTGCACTTCCGGGTAGGCTTCATCTTTCAGATTAGAATGTTGCCGCTTGGTTTTTGTAAACAGCAAGTGTAATTTGACACTATGTCCACCTAACGCAAAACTGGCTTCTGACGCAGCACCGGATGTAACTGGACGTGCTGAGACAAACCCGGAAGCGATCGTGCATAGAGGCTATTGTTTGACCTTGCAGGAATTGAGTGGTCAGAGAATCTAAGTGACTTTTAGTTGTTTTATTTTTAGACCTCAACATGTGTCAATATATATTACAAACATATATACAGACATACTGTATATACGGGAAACACTGGTAAAAAAAGGCACGATTAAAGGGGTTCAATCAAGGAATCTGATTTGAAACATGGGATGTCGAGTATTTACAACAATATTCAAAGGTTTGGGGTTGGTAAGATTGTTTTATGTTTTTTGAAAGAAGTTTCCATTGACTTGACTTGGACAAATACTACGATAAAACCTGTTGGAAAGCATCTTTTGGAGTGATTTTTGTGTGAGCATATCAGTGAACACCCCAGACCGCTTTGTGAGTTTCACGTCTTTGTAAACTAAGTTTAATTCGTTTTATGAAGGATTGTTCCAGTGCACCTATGCAACTTATGTGGGGGGTGCAACCACAGAAACAGAAAAATCTCGGGCCAGCAGCATGTGTCCAAATTACAATCTTAACCGTTCTATTTCATCAGAAACTATCTTAAAACAGGGCCTTAAGTGTAAAATACTTAACTTGTCCTTTTAAGTTGTTAATTTTCTGTGTGTTCTATGACTCTATTTTGAGAAGTTTAGGAAGAAAAAGTTTCAGTATGATGTGGTGGGACATTTTACAGATTCAGAACCTGTCACTTTGTTTTTGTCCTACTTCATCATTTTGAGAAACTATGAATGCATATTGCATATTGTTCTTGCACGGTCTCCATTGTTTATATGGTGGTATTTTGAATTGCAGGTATATGTGAATGACCTTTGTGTACAAGGGTTAAAGCAATCTCTTTTTTCCTCAGCAATGGCAGACTTTCATGTGCAGCCACGTTCTGTACGTGCAGAGCTGGGAGGTGTTGGGCGATTTCAGTGCCAAATCCATGGCCTGCCCGAGCCGGTCATCAGCTGGGAAAGAGACGGACGGCCCGTGGATACCTCTGATGACAGGTAGCGTCGTAAATACACAATTCCACACAGACGTTTGAAGGGATGTGCCCAGTGTTGTTAGAACATATACATGTCTCTCTCTCTCACTGTGAGCCTGTCTATGTCTGTCTCTGTGCAGATATACTCTGTTGCCCACGGGTGTGCTGCAGATAACAGGAGTAGGACCTGAGGATGGTGGGGTATACTGCTGTGTTGCCCACAACAGTGCTGGAGTCAAACACAGTGCAGGAGCGCAGCTCACAGTCTCAGGTCTGTTTAGAAATTCTTCTCTGCTTTCTTGAGTCTTTCCACATCATTTTCTTTTGTAACTTGCTTTACCTTTATCTCTTCCTGAAGGCTCCCAGTCATCTGTTTACAAAGAACCCATGATCCTAGTGGGCCCTGAAAACCTCACCCTTACAGTTCACCAGACTGCCATCCTGGAGTGTGTTGCCACGGGTTACCCGCGTCCAATCGTTTCGTGGAGTAGACTGGGTAAGACTCGTTTAAGTTTCCTTGAGTGGTTATCAGAGCAAAACCCACCTCCGCTCCAGTCGGAATACTGAAGAGCTTTAATTTACTCTCCAGTGCACACTACCTATAAAATACCCATTACCCAATCAACTGAAAAAGAGAAAAGGGTAAAATCTCCTCCACCAAGCTAATATAACATGATGGAGGATGAAGATCAGAGAAAATGTGTTCTATGATCTATGGAAAGATTTCTTTTAAAAGGGGGTCATATCTTAAATTATGTATGAACTTATTTTTCTCCTTAAAGTTCACTTTGTTAAGGTGTCTTGCACCAAACATGTCTTAATGAAGTTGGAATTAAAGGAGTAGTTCACAAAAAAAAATTAATATTGGCATCATTTACTCCCCCTCATGCCGTTTCAAACCTGCATGACCTTTTCTTCTGTGAAACATCAAAGATGGTATTTTCGAAAATGAATATTTTTGTTTTTTCATCCATTGATGTTGTTTTGGACCTCATAGACTTTTATGGTGTAGTTAAACATGTTCAGAATTCATTCTTTTAATTCATATAGGTGTGGAATATGTTGTAATTATGCGAGTGTGTGGTGTGCATGTCCCTCTTGCATCATGTGACACTTAAAGGGATACTCTACTTTTTTTGTAAATAGGCTCATTTTACAACTCCCCCAGAGTTAAACAGTTGGGTTTTACCGTTTTCAAATGCATTCAGCCAATTTTCTGATATTTAGAAGAATATCCGTAACCAGACAATATCTGGTCTCATTGACTTCCATAGTAGGAAACAAAAATACTATGGAAGTCAATGAGACCAGAAACTGTCTGGTTACGGATATTCTTCTAAATATCAGAAAATCGGCTGAATGGATTCAAAAACAGTAAAACTAGGGGAGTTGTAAAATGAGCCTATTTCCAAAAAAGTGGAGTATCCCTTTAAGACTGGAGTAATGGCTGCTGAAAATTCAGGTTTGCCATCACAGGAATAAATTTCATTTTAAAATATATTAAACATCTAACCCTTTTAGTTCAAAACATCATGAATATTTGTTTTTTGATGATATGGCCCTATTAAAATAAACTGTAGTGTAAATGGCTTTAATACAGCAGCCAATCTACTGGAGCCAAATGGTTAGGAATGGTGAAAGAAATACTCTTCCACCCTTCTCGCTAAGAGATGGATATTACAGATCGAACATTCTGATGCTCTACATTGAGATTGGTTTCTGTGTGAAAAATAGCTCATTTATTTTTAAGCGGGCTCAAGAGTTCTGAAGCCACACACTTGAAATGGTTTCAGACATTTTTGGTCATTGAACCCTCTTTGCCACATCTATCTGTCTTATCTTACTTGGGATTAATGAAGAAATGTCTGACCTATACTTCTAAAGTGTAGGGTGATTAATGTCATTTTATATTGGAATGTGAAATATGTCGTATTTATGTGAGTGTGTGGTGTGCGTGTCCCTCTTGCATTCATTTAAATCTACAGATTTGTCATCTGTATCTCATTTTTGAACCCCGTGCAATTTGTTATTGCATTTAAATAAGCATTTTAAACTATATCTATACATTTTGAGGGGAATGTAACCTACTTAGAATTATTCTCAGACTCACACCAACTGCTCTCTCTCTCTCTCTCTCTAAAGCAAGATTTCACAGCGACTCCCACACTTGTATTATAATCCGTTTCTGAACTCTTTCTCGCTCCCCCAGCTATTATCTAATGTGATTCTCCCATTAAGAATGTAAATGATGGTGTCTTCCTGTAACGGCTGTTAATCAGATTGTGGATATTACCTTCTGCAATGTTGCTGGAATTAACTGCTAACAATGGGATTTTGCTGGATTAGATTACAGCGAGAGCAAATCAAGGCTAAGCTCAGTAATGAATGTGATATGTCTCCTACTGTTAGTGATTAATGCCATTCTGCATTTATGTCATCTTATTTAGGAGCCAGTGAGTTTAGCTCACACTAATACACACAACCAAGCATGCATGCTTGCTGATTCATACCTACCAGAGAACGCTCACGTGTGTTATGGGGAGAAAGGTCTGTCCAGTAAAATGTAAAAATATATTGTCTAGGGGAAATAGATTCTGTAATCCCTTTTGCTACTATTATATAATTATAGTCGTGATAAGATCAGATGTACCTTTTTTAACAAGATTATATGGCCGAACAGAATAAATGATTTTTGTATTTGTGTGGTTTCAATTGTTCCTATATTTTTTTTTAAATTTTGAATAAATTTTAGTACGAAAGAGTTAAGAAAATGTTCATACGCAGATTTCATGCACAAATTTGTGCGTTTGCATGCTTAGTTAATGAAACCCAATGATATTCACAAACCAACAACAATTCAACAATGTGCACTGATTGCAGATTTTCTGCTAGGTTCAATACAATTGAAGAGCTGCTGCCTCTTCTTTTCATAATTCTACATATAGGAATGAAATGCGGAACATTTTCATAGTCCATGTAAGAGACTGATGTATATGCCTGCAAGAAGTTACTTTTGATAAAGTGAAAAAATACCAGCAACTAAATATAAGGATGTACCTATTTTTCTACAGAATACAGTTTTGTTGGTATTTTTGTTGAAAAAAAGAGAAGATTTTTTTTTATTTTTATCTTTTTTTTCATTCATCCATTAATGTGTTGTCTAAATAAAGTTTTAGAACTGATATGTCTGCATTTTGAAAGAGGGCAAAACCTTTCACATCACTGGTTTATAGCTGGTTCAAGCTGGTTTTCGGCCATCAAGTTGTTGACTACTGTAGGTGGAGGACCTGGTTTTTACCTGAAAGACTGCAGTGGACTTGCAAAACCTACCATGCTGCCATGTTCCAAAATCCAACTTGACCACCTTAAACTCATTTGACCTTTTTTTTTTTTTTTTTTTTGCAACAGTAACCAAGCTTTTTAACGATAAAATTAGGTCCGTAGTGACGTAATCCCTTTAAAAAAAAACTGTTCTGCAGAAAAAAAAGAAGGGAACGACGGGGTACGCATGATGGTTGATGACAGAATTTTTATTTTTATATGAACTGTCCCTTTAAGAATGGGGACATCCTGACTTATTCGCCAACTACTTCCTTGTATGTCTGTCTCTGTGATATTTCGGTAAGCATGCTAATCAACCCAATACTCAAAGCCTGTATCTCTAAAGACAGATGTGTGTTACCATTAACTGTGTGGAACTGGATTGAGAAGCTTCAAACAGCTGCTGAATGATAAGTGGAAATGTGTGTGTGCACCTCACAACTGATGCCAGTCAGTTAAATCTGGTGTTATGAACTGCACCCTGCCGCAGTATCTAACACCATGTCATTTTGACAGGCACATTAACAAAACTAGTGAAATGAATGGAAGATGCACAGTATTTAGAGGGACTGTTAATTTTTATTAAGACTTTTCCTCACTGAGTTTTCAATTATATCTCTAGTGAGTGAGATGGTCCAGACTGCTACAGTGTACAGTAGCTCATGAGATTTATTGCTCATATAGAAAGTGTGTGAGTTCTACACATGTACTTTATAGGAGATGTCCTGTCCATGGGACATCCTGCATCACTGGCATTCATAGGTTGTCTCATGTGCCCGTTGGAACCTTGTTTTTTCTGTGTACTCATTTTACAGCCTACAAGAGTTGTATGGGTTTTTTGTTTCTCTATCTCTTTTTCTCAGATTTTTCCTGTCTATTAAATATATTCTTTGCCCCAGGGCAGAGCGAGGGATAGGGCTTTGTACTCTATAATTAGTCATATTTAACCAGTACTGTTAAATCCGGAGGCTCATCACATGCTTCTGTTGTCCTGTTAAATTTATTTTTAGTTCCTTTGGGGCAAGAAATGATGGCTGGGATAATCGTGATTCTATATTCTCTCCAATGCCACTTTTTATTCCCTCTACTGATCTCTTTAATTCTCTTTGAAATGAACTTTATGACTTCTTTCCCTTGTCTTTGTCAACTCTGTGCCTTCATCTCTGTTTCAGATGGTCGCCCAATAGGAGTTGAGGGTATCCAAGTACTGGGAACAGGAAACCTGATGATCTCTGATGTCAGAGTTCAACATTCTGGTATTTACGTCTGTGCGGCCAACAAACCAGGAACCCGTGTGCGCAGAACTGCTCAGGGACATCTTGTTGTGCAAGGTGAGGCTTTTCTTAAAAAAAACGTTCATTTGCAAAATTACAAGCTACAGGCAATACAAGTGAAAATGTACATTTTCGTTGAATTTGAGGTTTTTCACAAAAATGATTTCATTAGGCCCTCATCTAGTGACCCCAATGCTCCAAATAGCAATGAAACATCTAAAAGTAGTCTGTCTGAGTCTGTCTCCTTGTCCATGAAAATTGCTGTTTTTCCTCTGCTCGCTTCTCGATGACTGGCAGTTCCCCTCAGCACAAGTTTTGGCATCGTTTTAAAGTGCAGCATTCCAACTTTGTGAATATTCATAGCGAATTCTCGATGTCAAGAGTCTGAACCGATGAAATGTGATTTTCAGTCTCATTAATGTTAATCAACAGTTATGGTATCATGGGCGATAAAAGTGAATGAATAAATGTTTTTTTTCCTATAGATATGGGTTTTGACTTGGTGTGTGTCAAATGTGGTGCTACTACCAGTGATTTTAAGATATGGTTGCTAGGTGATTTTTTTTGGAAACCTTCAGATATGTCACAAAATTGAGTTTAGAAAATCCCAAGAGAGAAATAAGTGAGAGAAACAGAGATAAGACAAGAAGGAAGAGGTGTCTCTGATAATATATCACAGTGATACATCAATACTCAGTCCTCAACCCATCCCCCACTCTCTCTCTCTCTCTCTCTCTCTCTCTCTCTCTCTCTCTCTCTCTCTCTCTGTATTGTGCACTGAGGGATAAGAAAAGAAAAAAGAGAGCACTAATTTGAGGGGCTGTGAGATGCACTGGATGGACCTCTGAAAGCAGTTAGCAACCTCTCTCATCATTTATTTATATGAGAGAAGCTGGTAACACTGAAAATACAGGAGAGAGACTGAGAGCAGAATCAACACTTGCGATTAAAGGACTTTAATAATTAAAGCCATTGCACCCTGAACGGGTATGAATGGTGTTATGGTAATTAAAACAGATACAAATGAGCGAATGGTGGCTAATCAGTCAGCAATTTCAAATTTTCCCAGATTAAATGTGTCCTAATTAAGCAGTAAATGACTATTGGATTAGCTGCAGTGTGTGTCGGTTGGCAGTATTAGCATGTGGTGAGTGAGTGGGGGTGGGGGGGGGGATGGGGGTATGTGGTGAGGTTGGGGGCAGCAGAAGCCTCTGCTAAAAGATGTTTGTGGTCCAAATATCCCTTCTCACATATTCCCACATACCCCACACGCACATCTGTTCTGCAGCACTTAATCTATTTTAATTTTCACACTGTGTCATTTATGGATTGTAAATTTCCTCTTCTGGCCCTGTGAAATCTGTTTTTGCCCTTCTCTAATCGAGTTAATCTGACACTTTCTCTAAGTTAATTCCTGTTACCACCCACTACTGTCACAATATATTCATTACAAATGTGATGAAGCCAAATCCACGTAAACACTCTCCCTCCCTCTCTCTCTCTGCATTGTGTGCACTGTGGTTTTCATCTTCAAATATGTACTGTATATTACCTTTAATAGCATATACGTTACATATGTTAAAGGAACTGGGTAAAATTTGGAACATTAGTGCAAAGGAGCCAACTGGGCTAATTTTTAAATCACTTAGTGAAAATGTCCAACAGAAACTGTGGTTTCAGAAAGCGTCAATCCTTTTTTATTTAATAAACTTGTGTTTTGTATTGGCAATAACTGACTTCTCATTGTCTCTCATTTTTCTTCCTCTCTATCGGTCTATAGCCCCAGCAGAGTTTGTGCAGCCGCCTCAGTCCATTGCTCGCCCGGTGGGCACCACCGCCATCTTCACTTGTCTGGCCCGGGGTGAGCCAGTCCCCCAGCTCACCTGGCTGAAAAATGGACAAATCTTAGAGCCCGATGGCCATATCAAACTCAGGAACAACAACAGGTGAGCTGAAAACGTCCAGTAATAACAAATGCACACAAACATAATATTAATATTATTTTTGTGTGCATTGTGTGCATCAATGTAAAACTGAAATTTCTGGAAATGGTAATTACCATTTCCAGAAATTTCAGTTTTGCATTGAGTTGAACTTATGTTTAATGTGATAGTTTCATCCATATATCTACAAGAGTATTTACATAGATCTGCATTCATTTGTGTGTCCTAATGGACTGGTGGTAGAATTGTTGTTAAGCGGGCCAGAGGTTCTGAGTTCTAATCCGCCTGTTTATTTTTTGTATCCTCATTAAAACCAAAGATTTTCATCAGTGATTGTATATCAAGAGCAGGGATGTGCATTTTGTTTCGTGATTTTACCAGGACAAATAGTGAGTCTCCACAAAGGTTAGCAATAGATTGCGCACGTAGAAACGCGATTGTCTGTGTGGAGACTGCACAAGCGCCAAGAGAACAGTGTTGCCTTCGGCCATTGATAACAGCAGCAACGAGCACTCAGCATGATTTCAAAAACAACACATTCCTGTGCCAGATCACCTCTTATTTAACACCAACAAATGAATTGCTAATAGGGTTGGGTATCGTTTGAATTTGAACGATTCTGATTCCGATTGCGATTCCTTGTTTCGATTCCAGTTCCTAACGATTCTCGATTCCGATTCTTTTAAGGGGCAGGGTCAAAAAAGTTTAGCTAACCTTGCTAACCAACGGCCTTTCTGAAGGAAAAAATCCATTCTGAAGGAAATACTCCTTCTGTAAAAATACTCCTTTTGTCACAAATTTTGCATTTTGCCGAGATTTCGTTATTTTTAGAAAAGTGAAGCCACACTTTGGATCTCCGACGTAAGGTACTCATGTTCGACTCGCGCGGTTATGCCAACACTTCCGGTAGATGCTTCTTCGGTGTTGTTCAGCGGTTTCTTCTTCCGCTCGGCGGACTGTGAATATCGAAACTAGGAATCGAAATTTTAACTTTTGAACGATTCCGGGAAAAACGAAAAGTTAGTCTCGGTTCCAATCGATACTCGATTCTCGATACCCAACCCTAATTGCTAATCAGCTGGACATGTTTCTTTTCTTTCGGGTACATCGAAACATTGCAGCGAGATGTTTCAAATAGTGGTGGGGACATGTCCCACCCGTCCTACCTGCAAATTTGAACTATGAGACCAGTGTTATTTGAATATTATTTATATACTATCATGTTATTTATTAATATTAAATGTTTCATATTTTTAGGCTGTTTCATTTTCATGTTTATTTTATTTAGCGTTATTTTTATTTCAGTTTTAGTAATGTTAGCAGGCCTACTTGAACTTAAACCTTGTCATTTATTACATTTGGAGTCACCTTACAGAAGGCATTAGTGAAGGCGCTCACTGTTTGTGTCATTGAAGGACATTCTCATGTTGCCGGTTGTCCTCTCTAGATGGTGTTATGACAACCACGTTAGGACGGCACAAGTCGAGGTCATGATATGATACATGGTCCTGCATTCTTCTGATCTAGAACAGGCCGTGTCTGCTATAAAAGACACTCGGTTTTCTATTTATCTCATGTGCTATTCTTTCTTTTTTTTTTCTCTGCTGTTTTGTTTACGATCATGTCTTTGGAAATGGAAATGAAATGTGATTCCTTGTCTATCGCTATAAAAGTTTTATTGCCTGGGATTTTTGTTGTGGTTAAAGAGCATGTTTATGGTGTGAGAGAAAATCAATTTCATTGCGGTTAAAATTTATAACAGCAAAGATGGAGAGAGACATTTCATTGCTAAAAGAAATAAATTGGGAAAGACAAGAAGGCTGAGACAGGCATCAAGCAGGTAGACGTAGAGAGTATGCAGGAATGGATCAGTAGGAATCTCAGTCTCCTACCATTAGCTAATTGACTAATAAAGTGGAGTTGTGGGCAGAGAGTTGCTACAGTATGTGGTTGCTAATGTTTTCCGAGTATAGGGTGTTCTGGTGGTTGCTGTGGTGTAATGCCGGTTTCACACCACACGCGTTACCAGAGCGGAGGCAGCGCAGAAGGAGTGCACATGGTGAGCGGGAGCAACACGCCCGAGCGTTTGTCGCCCGCAGCTTGTGTACAGGCTTTTGAGGTTGTGGTGAAGTACTTTGACAGATTTTTATATATTTTTTTTAATAAATAAATATTAATTGGTAATTGATATACCTGAATTATAATTATTATTATTTTATATTATCTGCATATTTATATTGGCTCTCATCTCCATGAAAAGCGTTCTGCAAAAGGGAAAAACTAATTGTTGAAATATCTCATACACATTTAATTTACAAACATTACCCATCATAAACATCTTAAAGATTATTCATAAATGTCTGTAAACAGCTAAGTTCTTAATAGAGACAAATTGTAAATGACATATTGTACAGACATATTGTAAATGTCTATTCTATTTACCTGATATTGAGTTTATTTGTTCACTCATTGGCCAGGGAAAGGTTGTCAAAAACACTTTTAAATGACTTGCCATCAGCATCAATAGCCAATAAAGGTGAAGGGGGGTAGCTTTAAGATGTCATATTTAAAAATCACTTGACATCAACCAACGTTCCTCTGGAGTCAAAATGTCCTCTTTTAGGAGTTGGCTCAGCTTCGGCTATGGCTCTAGGGTCGTTGTGAAGATAGGGGCGGAGCATAGAGACTATACCTTTTCTCATTTGTTACTCTAGAGTAGACCAACTCCCTCTCTGGAGGTATACAAGAGTCTCTAGTTGCCCCCATCTGGTATGGAATGTGGAGTATTGATTTTCTGGCAGACACACAAGGCACCTTTAAAAAAGAAAAAGATGGGCATTTTAACATTGAAGACACAGGACGTTAAAAAATAAAAAAATTGCAATTAAATTTCATATAGTGTTTAAGATCGTTTTATTGATTTTTGACCAGTGATTTACTATGGCATTATTGAATACTGAATCAGTCAAACACTAGTGAACGTGCGTGTCCTCTCTGTATCCGTGCAGGCATTTGCAGACATGTGTTTGAGTGCTGCAGTCAGAGCGGAGGTCATGCGGTTCAGTAGCTGCAGGAGCAGAGGGTGGGGTCACTGCCTGCTCCATAAACATAAAACACTATTACAGCAGTAATCAAAATGCCACAGTGACCCGCAGTCAAATTACAGTGCACCGGACGGCTCTTAGAAGGACTTTGAAGGTGGTTATATATTATGTCTGCATTTTACATACTGCCCATATATGCATGTGTGAATGTGTGCACTGTTGCTGAGTTTGATCATTTTTAATCTTGTAGTTTGGTAACTCTTCAAAGAAGGGCTCCTTTTATTGAGAGCCTTTTACCATCCATCATGTTTTTTTCATTGCTAAAATGCAAAAGTGACCGTGTAAACCAAAAGAGCCATGATACATACGTCATATGACATCGGGCCTATATCAGACCTTTAATTGGGCCTGAAACTGTATCTACTTTACTGTTCCATCTCTGCTGTCTTTCAAGTTATTATAATTTTTTTTACAAAATGACCATGCAGAGACTTTTTTTAAGAAATCGTTTTAAGGCTTATTTGAGAAAACCATGTGGACAATTTCACCATGATTTGCTACTGAGCAGACAAAAGAGTGCTCCTTTCTTCCCTTTTCCCTCTTTTTGTCAATTTTTAAACTCCATTACGTGCTTCTCTGTCATTACCCTCTCTAACCCATGCAAAATGGAGCGAGCTCTGGCCTTGACTTCTAACCTTTCCTGCAATCAGTCATTTCCACCTGGCTTTCACTGAGTGGAGAGACAGCTAAGCACCCCTTTCAACTCTCCCCATTTCCCACCCTCTTCTCATCTTTCCCCCTCTCTCTCTCTCTCTCACTTTTAGAGGATTGAATAAGGGTGACCACCCCATTCAAGAGGCAGTGCTCTGTGACGACTGTGCAAACATGCTCTCAGTGTTCTGAATAGCAGCCCTCCTGTCTCAGGATGCTCTCTGTCAATTCTGGAAGAGGCCAGGATGTATAGACAGACAGAGAGGGTGCAGGTGGTCCCAGGACAATGTGTGCTGTTCCTCTTCAAACATCAGTATTCTAAACAACTTTTATATTTGTTTCTAAATGGTATAGAATTTTAATATTTAATGTGCAATTTAGTGTGCGTAACAATTAATTATGTTAGATTTAAATATCAATTTTAATATTACTGGCTGCATTCCTTCTCTAGTTGCAAAAGTTACGCTTGACTCTTTAAAGGGACTGTGTGTAACTTTTGATGTAATTTGTTATCTAAAATCAACATTTTTATTTATAAATATGTCCTCAGTGGTGTACAAATACCTCTGCCAATTATCTGACTTATCCTCGTAAATGAAGAATTTATTATCTTTATATACAGTACATGGGATGGGTAAGTCCATGGAGGCTTCCATGTCATTCCGCCATCTTGAAAAACTATAATAGCAGAGAGGATCAAAAAAGTACTAGGCAAATGCGTTTCCACAACGCTGTTTCGTTCAGAGCCAGCATCACGTGACTAAAGCAGCAGAACCGGTGTTCTGTCGATTTTTGCTGCCTTGTCGAAAAATGCTACCGTAGCGCGAACTGATCACAGAATGCAGATTAAAGTCGTATGAAATACAATTATAATACAATTCTAAGTTATGAGTAGCTACTGTATACTGTAGACTACTGTTTTTATTTTTTAAACGGTGTGAAAAGTAAAATTTATCATAAAATATTCATCTTTGACTTCAAAGTACACCTTTCCTCATAGTAACTGAAACTTTCAGTTATTCTTTTTCAGCTGGCTGACGGTTCAAATATTCATATGGTATTAAGCATTTTTTAAAGGGAAATTACACATTATAACAGGGAAATGTACCTTTTGTAAAAAAAAACTCGCACATGCGCATAACCGGTAGGTAGCAAATCTCGATGGGTAGCATGAATCGTCAGAAGACCGGACGAGCAGAGCAGTGAGACGTGTTTGTTTTAAAAAGCTGAATTGCAAATTTATTTTCT